ATAAGGTCACGATATACTTAACATACTGAAAATTTAGGCAACTTTTTTACAGTGAATATACAAATTTTGGTGTAAGTTCATGCGATTTTTATCACCAAGGAGAAAATATATAGTTATAATCCATGATGCTGCCAACCATACATACAGGTTTAACTTAAACAGATTTAGTTTAAACTTAACTTTAACAGGTTTAACAGGTACACTAATAAGTTGAATAAATTTAGCTGCTGAAATGTTTTCAAGTTGAGACAAGTATTTTGTATGTTTTTGCTTCTAGAATTCAAAACAGCTTACCAATAGTAGCATTAAAAATATCAAACTCTTATTAACTTGTATGGTAATTTTTGTTCAGAGCATATAAATAAGCCTTTCAGATCAGGCTTTCCCCCTCCCACCCTTAAATTGAGTTCTTTAAATTGTCCTGGACTAGGTAACTCCCATCCTACAACATCTAATCCTAGGAGGTGTTAGGGAGTAAGAGGGGAGGTATTGTCTCATGCTTCTTAGGAACTGCAGTAGTTGAGGTTATTAAAATAACTGATTTTTTTTTTTTTTTTTTTTTACTACACTTGTGCTTGGTTTTAGAATTGCCCTCTGTGTTGATGGTCAAAACAGATTTTGCGTTAATAGCCACAATCTGTTGGGAGAAGAAGCTATTAAACAGAGACATCTTCCGTTACTTGGTTATGAAGTTGTGCAGGTAAAGTCCAAAGACAGTAGTTTGCTTTTGCTCTGGTTAACAAAACAAGTGAAAATGATTATTTTATAATGCTTAAAACTGTAGTTGCAATTACTTTCCAAGGCAGACATAGTCTTGGCCTTTCTATATTATGTTCTTTCTGCCTAGCTTTTGCCTTTTTGAGGGTGTTACAGAAATTTCCTTTTTCTTCCTTGGATCAATTAGTTTATTCTGCCTGTGTTTTCTGCCAAATAGTGGCTGCTTGAAAGAGTACTTCTCTGCAGTGATTAAGGTTCAAATCCTGACTTAAAGGAAAATGTTGTCTAAGACTTCAGTAGAATTGGGATTTTTAATTAAATACTTTTTAAAAAAGGTCTGAATTTGGAATTTAAAAAGAGGAGTTAAAAAAAAAAAGGAACTGCTTTCTGTTGTAAATAATATTTTCACAGCAGAGCGTATCCTTTGTTTTGCCTGTTGAATGAATAGAGATATTTTTATCTTTAAACATACTGTGGACAAAAACAGTTACTTCTAGATTTTTGAGATTTTCTTTTCCATTTATAATCACTTACCACAGAAGTCTAACTCCATTATATTTAACTTAGTTTAAACTGTAATGGATATCACTCTTTGTTTTATAATAATCTCTATTCAGGTGATTGACAGATCAATAATACACTTAGGATTAAATGTTTAATTTTAAAACAGACAAATCTTTGATGTGTAATTTTACATCTGTTAATGAACATCAATCTTACCCAGCTGTTTATTAAAAGGTATTTCCAGCAATCATTTTTGTTTTCTTTCCAGATTCCATTTTTTGAGATAGAGAGTCTACAAAATTGCAGAAAAATGGCAGACTATCTACACAAAAAAATCTTTCCTCATACATACAGACTCGGCTGCTGACACTGGAGAATAATACTAAATCACAGTTTGACCTCCTGTACTATAAAGTGTAAATATTATGCGTGGAAGAACAATTCTGTTTTCTAAATGACTCCACATAAGATAATTTGAGCTTCTGAATGTGAGACCTTCCAATATTTGGAACAATTGACATGTAAAGAGTAATAAAAAGCAACATATTTTCTTAAGTTTTGTGTAAATATTTATTATAAGTTAACAGATGCAAGTGCCAGCCAGCCAGTGGTGCGTATCTTTTGTATTTTCACTGGGTCTAACTCACAACTGCAAATGGGCAGATGTGACTACTCAAGGACACTGGCTGCTGCTGAATGTACAGAGTGTGCCATGCTACCTACCAATCAGGGCTTTTCTTGACAGTATAAAAAGAAATTGTGCAATTTACTCATAGCTGTTCATGTGATTTCCCAAGTGTTTCATAAAACTAAAATTTGCAGTAGTTGCACAAGCAGTATTGGCTTAGTGCTCATACTTAAGAGATGTTGAGTGCTGTTCACTAAATAGCAATGCCTTACAGAAAATGAGCGCGTTTTTATTAAAAAGATTCGCTTTACTTTGTAAAAGAGCAGCTACCACAGGGTAGTGGACTTGCGCAGCTGTCCCTGTGGGGGCCACCCGAGGTTCTGGGTATGTACTATTTGTAGTTTTGTCTTTGGTGGCAGTTTTAGCTACACTGGCTAAATGGGGTCATGTATGCGCTGCAGAGTTCCTTCAGTTTACAGCCTGCCATTTGAGCCTACGCTGAAACTCATTACGCTCTGAAGCTCAGAACAACTGTGTCTTATGCATTCCTTTTTTATGTATGAGCATAAATTCTGACAGAAGGTTGGAACCGAAGACTGGAACCAGTAACCACTTCAGCCGGAACAAGTGTGCCCTAACTTGGGTCAACGTGTTGCTTTACAGATGGGGAAAATAACATAGCCCTTGTTCAGATCACGTAACATATTCTTGATGAACTGCCATGTAAAATACATTTTCAGGTTAGCTCGTGCATCCTGTCCTGTGTGGAATTATTTATGAGTAGCAAAGCAGAATTCCCAGCATCACCTGGTTTGATTTTAACTATTATGATTTGATACAAAAAAGGTGAAACTTTTACATCCTTGAAGTTCTATGTATTTCACCAGTAGATACAGAACATTGCCACTTTTTTCTTCCAAGGCTGCTGTTAATAATTTGTGAGTTGCGGGCGTCCGTCAATTGTCCCAACAATCCCTGGGGATTTTTGGATGCAAAATCCAGATCCAAAATATGATTTACATTGTGTCATGCTGTGCATTCTGTTCATGTTAATTTGTTGCATGTATAAAGCTTTTACTCAGAGTATTATGTCAGCGCTGACAGGCGAGGGAGCACCAAGAGGTAATGAGATAGTTTCCAACAGTGTAACAGAAGATTGGTAACCTAACAGTTGTCATCCTAGCAAAAGAGAAATTGAAGAACGACTGAAATGTCTTTGCAGCCATTTATAGGGAACTTCTCCCTAATACAGAAGAAATCGTCAGGGTATTCTTTTGAGACTAGCTGAGCACTGAAGGGAGAAATCAACTACGCAGAACTGAATGAGAAACAAGTAGTGGGAGGAACAACCTGTGAAAAGCCTTCAAAAGTGAGGAGGGATGAGAAGGGACTGAAAGAGAAGGGGGTGACACAAGCAAAGAAGTGAGAGAGGAACACTGATACTGGTGTCGATGTCTCATGCATTTCTCCATGGTGAAAGTGAGCTGGTGAAAGTGAGCTGGTGATGCTTATTTCTCACACAGGCCAGAAGGTGGTGGTGTTCTCAAACAGATTTGATTTCCCGTAGTTTTTCAAACACAGATGGTTTGTAAATATAGTAAGACTACTTAAAGGAAGTAATGTGTACTGACTGTCCCAAACTAAAAATAACCTGTCTAGAATATGGCCATATTCCATCTCATTCTTCACTGGTATACATTTGATACTGATTTTTGAAAAAGCACTCTGGTATTGTTAGAAAACATTTCCTTCTCACTTCGTTCTTACAGTGATTCCTTTCATTTAATGCTTCTGGATTTGTTTAATGAAGTATTTATTGTCGAAAAGGAATGTAGCGGTTACTGCCCTCTTGTCCCTAGCTCATTGAATACAGAGGAACTTGCAGGTCATGAGTAATGAAAATAATAAACAGCTCTCGGAATGGGCTGCTCTGTGTGCTCTGCTTCTCACATCATGCCAAACAAGTGCTATTGATTGCCTAATTTACTACTTATCCAGGCCCCAGATTAAGAAGTTCTTTGTTTTTATTAGTTTTTACTGGGAGACTCGCTGTGTTCACAAATGGTATAGGCTTCCTATGTGTAAGTACCTGACAGAACTCCAGCGTCAGTCAAAGCTGTGGACTTCCAGTCCTTGTTCAGGTATGATCAGTCCGGCTGTTGCTCCTTTCTGAACAATACTGCCTCGGCTTTAAACAACAGCAGGAGCAATGGCTCTTGAGAACCAAACTGATGCCTACCCTGCAGGAGATATTCCTTCTCCTTATAACTGTAGTACTGGATTCAGTGAGAATACAAGGCACTAAATGTTTAGGCAGGTTTACACATTTACTCTAAACATCCTTTTTAAATGACTATTGCTCAAATCCTTGTGTTTTTCCCATCCTTTCTACCAAACTATTTAGTGCTTGTTCTCCTAGTATTACTTTTTTTTTCTTTTTTTCAGCACTGGATACAGAACCAAAGATGCTTTTTCTTGTGACACTCTTGAACAGATCAATCCCTCGGACACCATTCGTATAGTGAAAGTCAGTGAAATGGATGTCTGAAATCAGCGAAGCCCAGATTTTGTCTATTTAAATGCTAAGTACTCAGAAGTTCCCTTTAACTTGACTTCCACTTGAAGTCTACTGAAACTGCTAAGCACTTCTCTAAGTCAGATCATTTCTTTACTTGTCCATTTATGGGCAAGCCCATCTATTTTGGAAAATCTGGGTTGAATCCCCGTTTGAGCTGTTGTGCAGATAAAATAACACCTAGCAATTTTGTAGCAACACTGTAAGGATTAAGAAGTCAGTGACCACTGAGGAGCAAGCTTGCTTGAATCTTAAGTCTGTGAATAGTTATCTAGCAGCACTGCCTAAAATAGCAGAGAGATCTGTTGACCCAACAGGTCCCATTTCCAGTCTTGCTACCTAAAATGTTCAGCTGTTGCTGATGCTCTTCTTCATGAGATTTTTACAAGACTGTAAGAAGACATGCATTTGAAGTAGCATGAAGAGAAGTACAGCTACTATTTCATCCTATTTTTAATCCAAATAATTCTCATTAACTAAAATGTAAAGGAAAAGGCAAAAGCATCATATTGCTTTTTGATGCGAGGTGGGGTTTTTTCCACATAAATGTTGCTGGTAATGACAGGTACAAGAGATTTAGCATGGATCCAGGCTTGGAGAAGGTTTTTCCAATAAGCAGGTGATGCCATTTTTCCTGTAGAATTCTGCCTGCACGTGATTAATCCTTGCATGATCTCTGATTGGCTGCTCTATGGGCTTATTTATGCGTCTCCCATACTCTGAAGATGACAAAACAGCAACAGGTCTTGCCATTTCCTGTGAAAATATAAAATAATTCTTATAAGAAAATCACAGTGCGAATACTTGGCAGTTATCTATTGCTAAATGTGCTGTGGCCAGGGGCAAAATAACAGACAGAACTGTACAGCATCTGCTATACAGATTTATATTTATTTAGCAGGGATCTGCACTTTTACTGTTCCATCCCTGACCTAGTTTTTTATGTATTTTAATAAACTATGAATGTATCACGAGAGGACAAGATGATAAGATATGGTACCATGAGTTACTGTGGACTGATAATTTTTTACACACTCACACACACACACACAGAGGTGATTACCATGTGATTACTGGCAAACTAAATGCTATGTTACTGGAAAGTGGCATGGATTTTATTGTAATTCTTATTTTTCTTGTGCACTGACTTGCACGATTCATCTGAAAAACAGGAGAGATTTAGTTTGTATCCCCTGTACAGGAACACCTGCCCTGCTTGCACAATTCAGTGAAAACACTGCATGAAAAAAATCAAAACCTAAAGAAAACCCCTGAGCAACCCCTAGTCCATGCAAGCTTCCTCTGAAGGACATAAAGCATATACTACTGTATTTTTGCACAATTAAAGGTTTTACTAAAAATGCTTGTAGCTGTAAGATTACAGAAATAACTGCTCTGCAACGATGGGAAGTGGACTTGGTGAAAAATAACCTGATCAAGAAAAGGTGATTTTAAGCTTGTTCTCAGTAAACTGCACTTTAAGTGACTGTGCAATCACTATCTGCAATCTGCAGTTCCCTCCTGTGCTACAGCAATGGGGAGCTCTGGAGTCAGAAGGGAAAGACAGGATTTGTTTTACTTTCCCTAGCCGAAGGTATCAGGCTGCTTCTATGTTTGCGCACTGATTAACACAGTAAGCCTTCGTTCCCAATGTGTTTACCTAGTCTTACGATAGAAATAATATCTATAAGGAGAATCAAAATGCAGACACCACACCACAGTTCAGGTGCAAACAAATGACTTCTTTGCTACAACAGACACAAGCCTGAGTCATATCAGCACTTATGATAGAACCCGTGAAGCACATGAGCCCCTGCATTTCCTGCGAGGATGCAGGTGGGAGCACAGATCCGAGGGGTCTCATAGCAGAGCAGTCAGATGTGAGACATTTCCAGACTTCTGGGCAAAAGTAGACTTGAGATTCTTGGGAAGATGTTGCAAACCCTTTTTTCAGAAAAAAAATACAAAACAGAAAAGCCCACTCCAAAACAACCTTTCATCCCCCAACTCTCCCCCTGCCCTTCCTGCCTACCTTGCTCCACCCCATTAAAAGCTACTCAGTACACTAACTTAGAACCCCACCAGAACAAAAATCAAGTTATGAAGAGTGGCAGGCAAAAAACAAGACCAATTCCTCCCCACCCCCAGTTCTGGATAGATGTTGAAAAAGGAGAAATGACAGAATCTTTGTACCATCACAAAAGACTTTGCTAGCGATACAGAGTTTACAGTGCTCATGATGGGCAGCAGTATGTAATTCTGATAGCTTGTGTTCCCTTTAAGTAAATAAGATCCAGTTTTCAGCATCCTCGGTAGCACAGTGCTGACTGTGCACAGTGGCATTTCATCTTTGCGGGTTCGGCATTCAGCAGATTTCAGATTTTCCAACAGTTGGCTGGGAAGCATCCCGCTACACGCCTTCGCAGCGTGTAATTCTAGCACTGTTAACGCTTGAAATCAGCAATGGCAGCCTTGTGCAAACGCTCTGCTGCAGTCACTGTGCTACGTGTAGCTAAACCGAGTATCTGTGACTGTACTGTTGGATTCCCTGGGTGCACCCAGGCTCTCTGCAGGAGATGAAGGGCTCACTTGCAGCGGTTTGGTTTTTTCCACTTCAAGGAAAGGAGTGTACAGTGGTGGGATTCAGCCTGTCTGCTTTCAGTGTTGTACTACAAAGATGTCAATTGTGGCCTTTTTATTTATCATGTTTTATAACATAGTTATTGTTATATAAAGTCTGTGAGGGCCACTGAGGTAATTAAAGAGCAGGAGTTGAGTATGTGACCTGTACTCAGTTATGGGTAAGTCCAGTGTTGAGTGTCATCACGTGCAGAAGGATCACGTTGTAACATTTGACAGATGTGGGTTTGATGTGTCTCCATGCTAATTAAAGGGCTGGATTAAGGGACACCTGTTCAGGCAGAGTCCCTTGCGTGCACTGCCCAGCAGAGCTGGTACGAATTCTCACCCATACGCAGTTGCTTTAGGAAGCAAACTGGTAGGGAAGTGAGTTTTGCTGAGACCTCAGTAAGAAACCTTAACTCTGCATTGATAAACTGTTTCTACACAAATTTCCCAGCTGGAGGTTGGGCTTGGCATTGAACGAGGGGGGTTGGCTTTGTTTTGTTTAAATAAAAAGGCTCATTTTTAATTGGAGTAGTCATTTATGTGGCTTTTGGCCTCATGCAGATTTGCAGCTGAGTTCCAAGGCGTGAGCAAGGTGATAGTAATGAGCACTCCTTGGATTCCTTTGGGAGCACTGAATCCTCCATGCACTGTCTGATAGCATTGAAGGACATTATGGCTATGCACCGAAACGTCTGGCATATATGGCTGCTAGTGAGAGGAATCACAAGCAGTGGCCTCTGTCCCAAAGTCTCAACAGTTTTATTACACAGCAATTACAGTAATTTTAACTTTTGTCTCTCTCTTCCTTCTTCCATCTCTATCATATATAATCACCAATACGGGCAGCCATTCTTAGCCTACCCACCTCTTTACATCCCATGAACCCATCAGGATTTTGAGGCCATTAATACACAGAGGTTGCACTTCATTTGGTTTTTGACAGCCTCTGCCTCTGTGTGTGTATGTGTATATAAAAACAAATACATATACACACACTTGTGTATATATGTGCATTATTCAGAGGCTGCATGGAAAAATACATATTTTTATATATATATGTATATATATTCTAGTATTTCTGTTTTCAAGGCAGCTGTTTAGAAACATGGCTGCATACTTCCTTAGCTATCAGGCTGCCAGATTCTGCTGGCCTCGAATGCTTTGTGCAGCCTTTTCCAGGCATGTCCGTGGTCTTCTGATTGACCCCTCCTTTATACTAGCTCGCTACGAATTTCCTTCCTGCAGGGCAATCTGGTCTAAGTTTGTGTAACAACCTCACCAGCTTCAGAGACTTGGGCTCTCTCAGCAAATGCTGGCGTAGGGAGGGTGGATGTCAAAGGGCACTGGTTGAGTAGGGACTCCCGAGTCCAGTCTTCTCAGGGAGAAGAGTTTCCAAGCATCACAGAAATAGCTGCAGGACCACCTGAACTGCAACTCTTGAGGGGCACAGATGGTTCAGAAGTCACTCTCAGTGACCCTGAAGCTCTGTAACAGAGGGTTTGCCTTGCGGTGGGTACCTCTTTCCCCATGCTTTAACTTGCATGTGGCTTGTCACCTGGAAATCTACAGGATGTTGAAGAGCAGGAGCTATCTCAGGTGTCTTCACTGGCTAATGCTTTTTCCTAAACCTCCAGACTGAGGACAACAATGTCTTCCTTCCAATTCCTTTGATACCACATAGGCTGCATTATAAAGAGTAAAACAATGGCTATAGTCTCCAGCCATGTCCGAAAGTACAAAATACCTTTAACAAAGATAATTATGAAATTATCAAAGGGTTACCTCCTCATTAACGTTAAGACCACGACTCTTTGCGTGTTCTCTGTCACACCGGTGAAGATTTTTGTTGTAACCCTCTGTTCTTTTAAAAATGGAATCATAAGTGGAAACATCTCCTGTCTTGAGAAAAGGGGAAAAAAAGGCTAATTTGCAGTATTGCTTAACTTTACAGGTCACAGAATATATGTAGTCAAATCAATACTTAATAACTCAATACTTAATAACAGTGCACATATAGCATTAGATGATGGCAACTGAGCTATCATTAGCAAGTTTGGGTCACTTCTTCGGAATAGTCTGCAATAAAACCACCTAATGACACCACATAATGACATCTTTTTAAAGTCTGTTCAGCTCTGAAATTTCCCTTGTGGCAAATTACCTCAATTTTTTCCTGTAATCTGTTGTAACCTTTAGAAATTTAACTGCTTTATTTGTTTGCTTGTTTTACTTTTCTGAACTTTATATTCCCCTTCTTAAGTTCATAAATTTGTCAAATCATCTGGCACTGTAATGTAAAAGGAAAACAGGCAGTTTCAGAATTCATCTGGAATGAAAAAGACAAAGGCATCCTGCAGTGGAATCACCATTTAATTTCTGACTAAAGCAGAGCAGAGAAGAGTTCAGAAACATGCCACAGTGGTAATCCTGTGATCCAGTAGTATGCATGTATCTGTCATGTATGAAAATACAGCACACCCCAGGCCAGAATATTATTGTATTTATGATACCTGTTGACAATGTTGCATCCAAATAAGCAACATTAAAGATCTGATCTGCTAACAAATGCATTTGTGAAATACAGTCAAGAAGTTCTCGGCAATGGAATCAAAGGAATTTCAAAACCAAAGAAGTTTTCAAGGAAAGAAAAGCAAAATTCTCTGTTGAAATATGCTGTCAGTGAACTTCATTAAGAGGTCCATATTCTGGTAAACATGTCAATCCATCACTGGTTTTGTGCACGGTTGACTACAAATTTCAAAAATTGTGCATTTTGTTGGGCTTTGTGCCCAATTTAGCCTTTCGAAAAACTCTTGTATTTTGAGTATTACAATTTATAATGCTATCCTCCAAAAACAGTCAAGTCAGGGCAGGTCAAGAAGGCTATGATCGTTCCATTAGAAGGAAAGCATTGGTAAGAGCGCTAGTGAGGTACTGCTGTAATCACAGGCTTCTTTTGGAAGGGTATCTTCATTACTTGGTTCTGCCAAGAGGAGAGGTGGTTTAATATTTAACCTATCCATCCCTTCATTTCTCAGAAATCATCAAGCCTCTCAGAATTTCAGGCATATTCAAGAGCATCCTGCATCTGATTTGTCACCTCCATTATTATTACTATTTCTGTGTTTCCTTGCTTCTCCTTTCCTCCGCATGTTACCAGTTTCATTTAGAATTTTAGTGGGCATCTAATTTGTGCTCATCACTGGGACTGCGTTTTGCTCCTTTGTTTTTATTTACGTGGCATTATTTGTCCATTATTTGTTACCTGGGTCAGAGCAGATAATTCATTCTTTCTGGAACTTGCAGATAGGTAGCCAGCCTGCTATGTTAAAAAGTAGCCCTGCCCCAGATAATCTGTTTAAGATTTTCTGCCAGATGTGTAGAGGCAACACTTCTGTGCTCAATATACTGATAAATTTTTGCTGTTGTTTCCCTTTGTTGTTAAATTCTGACTTAGTTGGCCTAGGTGGTGGTGGTGGTAATCTGTTTCTTAAACCCATCAGAGCAAGTGAATCACGCAGAGCAGACAATAAATTTGCACTCAGGGTGGGCATCCTCTGTGTACTGCTACTAAAGCTAAGCACTTTGCAAACACTCATTAATATTCCAGACACACATAAAATAGGTAATAGCTTTCTCCATGTCACAGAAGAGGAAACACCACGCAAACTGGGTACAGTAACTGATGTAAAGCAATCAAGGGAGCAACTGTCAGCCAAGGGATTAAAAGGCAGGGATTTCTGGCTTCTGGCCATGTGCTGAGCACATCTTCCTCTATTTGTCTCTGCTTCAGTCTCTGACACACAGTTGTTTTTTAGGTATTTAAGCCGCAAAAAGTTCTTTTTCCTGTATAAATAAAAAAAAATAAAATTATCTAATTCCTTAGTTGTGCAGAAGAATGGGTTGAATCTGCTTCTTCCCCTGTGGTCAAGGCCTGTGCTGTGAAGAAACCTATTCAACAGCTGTTATCACTTTTTGTTTCCATGCCACTAGAGCAGCATTTTCCACAAACCAGGTCATCGGGAGTGTGAAAGCAGACTTTATATTGCAAAGAAAAGCTCTACCATATGGTTGCTAATTTCGTGCAGACTGGAGAGACTGCAAGCTCCACCAGCCCCAAGTGCACCACGCCAGCCCTCTGACCTGCCCTAGCCTTACACTTGTTGTACATGGCACTAACTGTGCCTGCTCACCTTTGGCTCAGAGCACCTTCCCAAGGCAACACTGAAATCAACACGAAAGAGCCTGAAATTACAAATCTACCTGTCTTTTAGCAGGACCATCCAGTCAATGCTGAAAATTGCTTTTACTGTTCCTTTGATGCCCAGCGCTGTGCTGTGGTCTGCACCCTGCCCGCATCTCAGGGCCACGGGACCTGCAGGCTCTCACAGGTCGCCCATTGTCGCTGCCCAGTGCTCTGCACGTTCAGCAGCATGTCACTTGGGTGGGGAGGGGATTCGTGGCATGTATTTATTGTTATAAATACATATATGTGGCCATAATATTGCTATATTATATTGATATAATAGACATTTCAGAACTTTGTAATGTTTTGGGTTTTTTTTTTTTGGGGGGGGGGGGGGGGGGGAGACTTATAACGATGTAGTTCAATGTTTCCTATGACTCTTCAGAGAGAGAAAGATTTGCTACCCAGCAAGTATAGCCCAGCTGAGGCTGAAGGTTTAAGATTGTTTTCATTTCTGATTTTAAATATGAGGACAGAGAGAATGAGGGAAAAGGGTGATATAATGCAACGGAGAGTGACGGGTGAGGCTCTCTGCTTGTCTACTTGAGTTTCGACATGTTAAGTGTCAGTGTAACACCTTCAGAAGCATTCAGTTACCAAGGCATATATTGATGTTATCATTTTGAGCAGCTCTCTTGATTTTCTTTATTAAAGCTGAGCATATGGAAAATTCATGTGATGCATATTGAAAACCCTTTCCCTCCACTGAAAATTGGAGCAGTTTCTTACTAAAGGGTCCCTGAGAGTGTGCGTTACCAGAAAAAACACAGGTGCTGCATCCAACCCTAGTGACAGATGATGCCTTTCCCAGTGTTCCCCCTAAAGATGCCTGGCATTTCGGTGATACCATGTGGCCTGTTGGTCCTTAATCCTTGGCAAACCACGTCTCTGCCTTCTCTTGCCGTCCAGCGAAAGGCATTACCCTCATTTTCCATCCACAAGTAGCAAACACCCATTACACCGCGCAAAGGCCTCTGAAGACAAAACCTGCTCTTCAGGCATTAGATAGCCTAGCTGGCGACTAACGCGCAGCGTTTCCGTTGGCCTTTGAAATATTAACAGGATTTTTTCAGACACGCGCCGGACCAGGTCCCTCACGACGAGGGCCGAGGCCTCGCACGGGGCCCGCGGGCAATGTCTTTAGGCTGCGCAGAAACCCGCGGGGAAGGCTTTCCCCTCCAGAGCTGCCGGGCCCTGCGAGGCTCCCCGGCTCTCCCTCGCTCGATCCCTTCCCTCCCTCACCTTGGCCTCCCGGTGGAAATAGCTGAGCTCCGGAGGCCCTTCCCGTCTGGCCGGGATGCGGCTGAAGGCTGAGAGGGCGGAAAGGGGAGGCTGCCGCCTTCTTTCCGCCGCGCTACCGAGT